AACAGCCGAACTGCAGAACTCCAGTCAGCTGAAGTAGCCTGCAGTGCTGCATTTAACCACTGCGCCACCTCGGCTCTTCAAGTTTTCACTATAGCTGAAATAGATCTTTTTATTCATAATGTCAAGCCTGGCCTATAAAATAGCAACACCTGAACAATAAAATGAATCAAAACCAATAAAATAAAATGGTAGGAGAACAGCTTAAATAATACATTATTGAATCAAAGATGCTTTTAAGATTGAGAAAAACCTTTGTCACAAATAGATGGATTTACACATCATATGTGGCTTGTATGTTATGATGCACAGAGTCAGCCACAGTAATTAGTAAATTGTAACCTATTTCACAGTACACTATGAAAATCTAGCAATTATTTGTTCACTAAATCATGATTGAATCAACCATGATTTAGTGAAGTATAAAGCATGGTATTGAAAGATTACAATAATTTGGGGGAGGGGATAGGAAGATAAAGGAGTATTAGGTGTTTATTGCATTTAATTATTTATAAAAACAATAAAGGCAGGAGAAACGTAAGTAAAAAATTTTTTTTGCATATATAATAATATATAAACTTGCAAAATAAATGATTGCAGTTCTTTTCATGTGTACACATCCCCAGAGCATCCTGTCTTGGTTACTAAAATCAGCCTTGGAGGATGTCATTCTAAATCTAAATCCCGTAATGGGTGTGGACTATAAAATTGATCGTAATGTTGTCCTTAAATGTTCTACAAATATCCTGAACTATTTCCCAAGTTTCTTTGAAAATATGTGACAAACAGACAGCAAATCTCTCATTGTTTCTGTTAACCTAAAATGTTCATCTCACTGAGAACATTTTGTGTCACAGAAATTGAATCAAACAAGTATTTGCATAACAAATATAATTTAGAAAGTTTGAACAAGCCTCATACCAATTTCACCTTTCTTATCATCTTGAAAGAGACACAGTAATCTAGACCTAATCTTATTTGTATCTCTACATGTATAATCATTTAGAAGTTCTTAAGAAATCAGTAAGCAAACTACAAGGTCAAAATTGCTCAATTGGGATATAGTAGGATTCATTTTGGCCTCTAAAAATGCATTGCACATCATCTTATTATTGTTTTCTTTCTGGAAAAACATTTCTAAGGACACATTTGCAAGAGCAAAAACAAACGGGGAAGAATATCTTATCTCCTTCACCTCTCTGTTATATTATGACGCATTCTTTTCTTGGGCTAAGTATTGAAAAGTAATCATTTTATTGTGTTTTTATTCTTTTAGCTTGTCGGAAATATTGTCAGACAATATTTCTTTGCTCATTTATTTATATCATTAATTTGTTGTACTGTCAACTACAAAAGTAAGTTGACAATTTTCTGTCCCTTGATAATTTACATTATGAATTATGTAAATAAATACATAGCCGTGCTCATTTTCTGGGATAAATTTAACAATCCATATCTATACAATAATGAAAAAGGGCTGTTTATTTTGTATTCCAATATGAATCTATACACATTTACCCACAATTTCTGTTGCTAAGTAAGCCAATTATTATGTGAATTTTGCCCCATTTTATGACTGTTCTTGCCACAGTTGTTAAGCTAATCATTGCAGTTGTTAAGTTAGTAACGCATTCGTAAAGTCAGTTTGGCTTTCCCATTGACTTAGCTTGTCAGAAGGCGTAAAAGGCGATCACATGACCCCGCGACACTGCAATTTCATAAATATGAGTCAGTTGCCAAGCGTCTGAATTGTGATCATGGCAATGTTGGGTGATAAATGGTCACTTTTTCCAGTGTCGCTGTGACTTTGCACAGTCACTAAATGAACTGTTTTAAGTTAAGGACTACCTGTATTAAAGCTGCAGGGCTTGGAGAAAAGCATCAGGGATGACATATTGGAGAACAGAGTTGACTGTGCCAACCCTTTGAAGTTCTACATCAAATGTGAGTTGGAAAACTCCTGTTCTCAGTGTTGAAATAAGATTAATATTCTAGTACAATCAATGTCTGCCTATGGATTAACATGACAGCCACTATAACCGTGACCCGACAAATGCGCGCAGGACAAAAGGGTGCCGACAAAATTGTGGCACTAAAACCGTGACATCATCAACGCGACGTCATCAATACGGCGACAACAGCGCACCGACAGAAGCGTGATTTAAGTTAAGGTAAGGGTTAGGTTTAGGGTTAGGGTTAGGGTTAGGGTTAGGTTTAGGGTTAGGGTTANTTAGGGTTAGGGTTAGGGTTAGGGTTAGGGTTTGGGTTAGGTTTACAGCGTGCTTCTTCGCCGTGCTGTTGTCGTCGCGCTTCAGCACTCATTCGTCGTCACGCTTTAGAACTCACGGTTTTGTCACTGCAGTTTAGTCGGGCGCGCTTTTGTCGTTCGCCCTTTTGTCGGTGAACCCACTATAAGCATCATGAATTGCTTTATTTATCCCAGATTAGAAGTCCAGAAAAGTTTCATAGGAAAATATTAATATATTTCTGTTGGGAGATTATACAATTATGGAAAATTGGGTTAATAAATATCCATGGTTCATAAGAAGATGAGCAAGAAATGATTTCTCATCGTTAATGATTTGCGGGATCATTTTCACTTTCATTTTTATTACAGGCCACCCTCTGATTTCAAGTTGCAAATTCTAAATCACAATTGTTACAATTTCATCTGGAGCCCATTATCAAAAATTGATAACTGATCATAAAATTTGATCAGGCTAAAATCCCTGCATGAGTTCTCAAATTTTAACTGTTTTTGTTTCTAAATTATTATGAGCTGCTGCCTTAACTGAAGGAAATATATGTTTAAAAAAATCAATTTTTTGCACATTTCACTAGGCCATAGGACACATATGTCGCAAAGTTTACATTTCTATTATGTTATTTACAGTCATTTCTACACATGAGGTAGAAAAGCTAAGACTAATAGCAGCTATTTTTCTGCTGCAGCACCTTTCTTACTTAATCAATCAATCAATCAGAATAGCTCTGGAAGGAACATTGGAGGTATGCTCAAGCAGGAGACCATATATCATTTCAGATAGGTAGCTGTCCAGTTATTTCTTTAAAAACCTCCAGTGATGAAGCATTCACAACCTCTGTTGGCCAGCAGTTCCACTGGTTAACTGTCCTCACTGTTAGGAAGTTTCTCTTTATTTTCAGGTTGCTTCTCTCCTTGATTAGTTTCCACCAGTTGTTTCTTCAAAGCCCTTGGATGCTTTGAAAATAGGTTGAACCCCTCTTCTTTGGGCAAGCCCCTTATGGAATTTTCTTCCCTCTAGAAATTAAGCTGGCTACTTCCTGAATGCTTTTAAAGCCTAAACTTTCCCAAAGGAGAATTATTGTGATTGGTTCTAACCAGATGTCCTTTCTTATTATTAGGTGCTGTAATTATTATAATTAAATGTTGTGTATTAATGTTTGCACTTTCCCTGGTTTTTAGTATATTGTAACCCACTGTAAAGATTTTCCAATGTACAAATACATAAAGAAATAGTAAGTAAAATACATCTGGTGAAAGTCCTGAATCATAGTAGAGTGTTTGTTTGTTTGTTTTGGGGGGGTGTTATAAGAGATATCTTACTATAAATGTATATCAGAATTTTCATTCACTAAAAAGCTAGGATATGCTGATCAATGGGGAAGCTGAGTTAGCATCTATATAATATATAAATAGGGGATATGATGGCTCGGTGGCTCAGTGGCTAGGATGCTCAGCTTGTCGATCAGAAAGATCGGCGGTTCGGCGGTTCAAATCCCTAGTGCCATTTAACGGAATGAGGTTCCATTACTTGTCCCAGCTTATGCCAACCTAGCAGTTCGAAAGCATGTAAAAATGCAAGTAGAAAAATAGAAACCACCTTTGGTGGGAAGATAACAGCGTTCCATGGGCCTTCATCATTTAATCATGCTGGCCACATGACCACAGAGACATCTTTGGACAGCGCTGACTCTTCGGCTTTGAAACTGAGATGAGCACCACCCCCTAGAGTTGGGAACGACTAGCACATATGTGCGAGGGGAACCTTTACCTTTTTAATATATAATTTAAATGCTTGTAGCCATAGGATAAAAAGCAATGAAAGCAATGTAATCACTTCCGTATTACATAAATTAATCCTATAATTCTGTTGCCCTTAATGTGATAAAACAATTTTGCTGATTTGAGCTCTCTTTGTACCCTGATCATCAGGGTGCAGAAGTATTGTTTGCCCTATGACTTAACCCAAAACTGATATTTTTAAACTGTTGGCCAGGGGAGATCAGGGGAGCTAGAAGAAATCAGAGACCACGTAGACAAAGAAAAGAGCTATGTTTTCCCTTCAGTGCTAATTAAAGTGGAACAAAACTGTTGCCTTGTATTGCATTCATAAACATTTGATATTTCTAGGTCTTGAAGACTTTTTTCACATGAGTCATGTTTACCTAAATTTAGCTTTTCCCCTAAGACCACAGGGGGAAATTGTGAGAGCGAACAGCTCTTGAAATATCTTATTATCTTTTGCATTCAGGTCGTTCAAACAAGCAAGTCATCCTTATTGCAAATGATTACTGGAAGAAATTGCTTCATAGGGCAAGGTTTTTTCTGGCCGAGGTAAGTCAGAATCATCTAGTGTTTTAAAATGCAATGAATAAGTGCCAGCAAATTCTGGGCACACTCCCACTAGGGCCGGAAGAGGCTGTCCTCCTTATGTGTCAGCCCCACCTATTTTCACCCACTAAAGGCCACATGATCTCTTAAGCTGCCCTACACAGTTTAGAGAACAAGTTCAGTTCTCTGATGTCCACAAACTCAGATTGATTAAGCACTGCTTCTCCTGTGTTTGGCGGTTCTGGGAGCCACAGAAACAATGCTGCCAAAATTTCACAAGTGGTTGCCTCTTCTATTTTTCTTCTTTTCAACTTGTACTGCAGTAAGTTTACCTGGGGAGGGTATGGACCTTTGTAAACTACGTAGTCATCTAAAATATCATAATGACTGAAATGCCATCCTGTGGTTTTTTTTTCCCCTTTTATTCAGATTTTTGCTACACGTGAAAACTGCTGTATCTTGGATGAACGATTCGTAAGTCGATATCTGTGTTATTTTTGCAGTTCTTTCTAATCAGGTTGTTACTGTAGATTGTTAACTGTAAGCATGAAGTTCTTACTGAAGTCCATGACTCTTTTTAGATTAACAACTGACCATCAGTATGGGGTTTTTAGCCATCTTGTTTAGGTTTAGATATCTATTTATTGCAGATCCCTTTATTGTTCCACATCTTCTCATGTGTATAGAAAAAAAGCTCTATTGTTGGGCTATAAAATATTTCTCATTAGGCGATACGATTAAAAAAAATTCTCTTTTTCTTTAGGGAAACTTTTGTCCTACAACATGCGGCATTGCAGATTTCGCAACCAGTTATCATTCAGTTGTTGATGGAGATCTTCGGATCCTTGAACAATTGTTGCAGGACATTTCTAATTCTTCAGGTGTCACTGACAATTTGATACGCCAGATCCGACAAGTGCATGTCCAGCCAGCAACTCAAACAAGTGAGAATCAAAAGCTACCGTAAATAGTTTTTACTATTTCAATGATTCCGTTTGGTATCCTTAATGTTTCATGCATGCCCTGCTTTTTTCTTTTCTTTCTGCAGGTGTGGTTCCAGGTTATACACAGAAGTCCAGACAAATCATTGATGAAATTATCAGATATGAAAACATCATTGTCGGCCATGAAAATACTATACAGTAGGTTTAATTATTACTATTTTTCAATGTTGAGAAGGCAAAAACATAATGTGGATTGAATTAGAGGGTTTCCATCTATTTTATTCCAGCAGAATTTCTGCTGGTGTACGAAAACCAAATCTTCCTTCCTTCCATGTTTGTCAAATTAGCTGTCAAATTTAAAAACAGTTATAAACTGTTTATATTGTAGTTTACTACAGTATGCAACTTATGTGAAAGGTAAATATGAGTAGAGCCAGACTACACCAAACAGTTCTTGTTCATTTAAAAGAAGCACAGAGTTTGTAGACTATTGCATTACTTTGTATTTTAACTAAAGCAGAATTACTTATTTTTAAAAGAACCGTTATATTTTACGAAGGATAAAGAATAGCAAAAATGTTGAGAGAATATTTGTTATCTCACTATATACATGACTTATCTAGCACATCTTAACCATATAGCACTCCTTTGGGGTAGGGAAGGAACAGACTTGGCATTCTCCAGATATTGTTGAATTTTAGTTCTCAATATTCTCCTTTGTGTCAGCTCTGGAAGCCATTTTAACACCTGGTCGCTGACACTTTGTTGGTTAGAATGGCTGGGATCTCTTAAAGTTATAGTTACTAATTTCTAATAGATTTTAGGCTCCCCATATCAGCTTAAGACGGAATGATTTATCCATTTTAGACCCTTTCTATTTTTCTTAGTTTGAATTATATGTTTATATTTGCATTTTTTTTTCATTTGGGGCCTTCCTTCTGTAATGTGGGAAGAAAAATAGTATAGAAATAGAAGAAGAATATTACAGTGTAAGCATATATACAGAAGTTGATCTGCAAATTGATAGCCCCATTTAAGCGTTATCTTATTCAATACTGAATAGATAAAGAGGAAAGGACATTTTAGAATCCCTCCTCAATCTGTACATTCAGTGGAGAGAAGATGTAGGGAATTGCAAACTCATATTTCTCTTTCATTTATTTCATTCCTCGCTGCTTTCTTTTATAGAAGGAAAGGAGTTTCAAGTGCTTCTACCTGTATGATAAATCTATATTATACTTTTTAAACTCCAGGCAATTGACAGACATGCTGATATTAAACAATAACAAGATTCAGTTATTAAAGCAGAAAACTGCTCAGCTCGAGGCACAATGTCAACAGCCATGTAGAGACACTGTCCAGATACAAGAATTAACTGGAAGAGGTAAGAGTAACAAGCTGTTGTATTACTAATTTACTAACGCTAAATTCTATGCTCTCCTCTGAAGAACTGTTTACCAAGACAAAAGTACATTATATACCCATTACAATCTAATCTGCAATTGATTTTAAAAAGTGTTTCTTTAACATATTATAAATTAATAGAAATAATTAGTTGACTTAGCTGTTTTAGGTTAAATTTATTTTTCGAGAAGATATTCTTAAATAGCAGTTAGGCATAGAGGCAAGGTCTTAACAAAATCTATTTTTTAAGTGAAAGAAATAAATTGATTCCAGTGGATATTAACAGCCTTAAGATGTAGATGTTACTGCTATAATTATCTTTTGACCTCAGTTGTAAGAACACTTATAAATCAATTCGTTTAGTATTAGTTACACTCTACATTTTAATAGTTTTCATAGAATTTTGGATATTATGATCTAATATATTATGTTAAATTAATGGCATTTAAAATTATTGTCATATGGAAGCAATCCAAAAATAAGCCACTAAGAAACTGTATGCAAAAGTATTTTCACTGTGGCTTCAGAAGTTGTGTAAAGCATGTTGACATAAGGCTAATGCACAAATATTCTATGCAGAAATAAGTTGCCTTTAAGTTACAATAAGATGTAAATGGGAGAAATATTGATTGTATTTAACTCATTTAATTTTGAACTACTCACTTGCTGGTCTTGGAAATACGAATTTCTGAATTATTAAATATGACCTTCCAGTATGTGACTCAAAGGTTGATTAGGGCCAAAAGAAGTTGGCCCTTTCTCCCCAAATGGATTCTTATCAACAGCAGATGAGAAGCTAAGAACATACCAGTAATTGTTTCCATAATCCTTAAGGCTAAAGATAGGAAACATACTATTGCCACTGGTTACTGGTTGAGATGGATGGCTATAATAACTGAACAAACAAATAAGTTAGCAAATAAGTAAGTAAGTAAGCAAGTATGGAATCGAGTGGCAGAACCTAGAGTAGAGTTAAAAGAAAAATAAGCCTAGAATCTCTACATAACCACAAGTGAACTATGTTCAATTACCCTTCTGCTGAATTTCGTTCAGCCTAACTCCTAACAGGTGCTAACTGTTAGTTGAGAATATGCCTGTGCAAAGGCATGAGTAGCAATAAATCAGTTTAACTGGACCTTCACATATGGCCTTGATCTTTTGTGCCTCAAAAATATCTGTCAATATATATTTTTTAAAGTATCTTAAGCAATGGCCTAGGCTAGGGCACTTTTTTCCAGTTTTGTAAATTTATATGGAGGTCAAGAGGTGCCACTTTCAGAGGAAACATCGAAGTTGAAAAACAGATATATGCTCATATCCTGTTGAAACAAAATAGGAACTAGCTTTATAATAATGAAGTATCAAACAAAAATATACTTTATAATTCTGCGCATGTTGCTTTATTTATTCCCATATCTGCTTTTGTATAGGACCACCAGTGAATGGGCTTCTTGTAGCCTTATTTAGGCCATGAGGACTAATGGAAACATTTGCAGACATTTTCTAAACATATGAGCCACCTGGGCTTATTGATCTACATTGGCTAGTTTCTCGTCACATGTTTTATTGCAAAATACAGTTGCTATTTCCATAACATGCTAAGATGCAGAACAGTGGTGGGATTCAAATAATTTAACAACCGGTTCTCTGCCCTAATGACCAGCTGGATAGGCGTGGCTCGATGGTCATGTGACTGGGTAGGTGTGGCCAACTCAACATCACTCAGGTCGATGGGCGCTTCGCCTTAGCTGTTACAATGTAATCAGGGTTAACCGGAGAGGCAGTTTCTGTAAGCAGGGCAATAAAGATGAGGCTAGAAGCAACACAAGAATTTTTCCTTCATGCTTTCCTTACAGGATTAGCCCTGTAAAGTGGAAAATAGCAATAGCAATAGCAATAGC